TGCTAGGCTGGAATTCTCAGCTTTAGCCTATAAATATCTTTGCAAACAACTTCTTACGGGGATGGGTCACCAGTCAGCACTGGAGGGGTTTGGGCCTCTCTCAAAGGCTCTGCTGTGTTTTGCATTCACATCTCACCCAAAGGAATTAATTTGTTCAGTTTTGTGCATCACAGAGGGGGAGGACAAGAGCATTCGTAGGAGATGGGAATACGGATGGAAGCTCAGAGGTCAGTAAGGCTATCGTGCACTTAAGGTATTTAGAGCAAAGGAGATGGACAGCTTGCTGCTTTGGGACAGAATCCATCTACTTTTATTCTGTTGTCTCCCTTTTTAACTCCGCAGCCCTAACCAGAGAAGAAGTCCTTAGGGAATTCTGCTATATTGGGCTTTAGTTCCAATGACAGTAACATACGACTCTCAAAATCTGGAGGGCAATTGTCTTATTAAATTGTCTATCAATATAAACCTTAAAGAAGAAATCTGAGGAAAAACGAGATCTAGTCCAAAATGACAGCACCTTTAATCAGTGTAATTAACAAAAACAAATTAGTAAATACTTGTCCTTCTCAGTAGAAGCTAAACCTTTGATTCATTATAAAAGCCGTAAATGAAATAAAAGAAAAACTAAAGACAAATACTTAAACATTAAAATAAAGAGGGTTTAGCACATATCAGTAAGCAGCACCTACTGATTACTTTTACCCACCAGAATTGTTCTGTAGTTTCTCTCACATTAACTGCCTTGGAGATGGCCAGCCAAGAGATTCCCACAGTGCAAGAAATGAGGTGATATAGTGGGGGTAGTAAATCCTAACTATGTACTTCTGTATGCACATGAACAAATTTCATATGATAAATGAGAAGAGGAGGCTGAGGGGAGACCTCCTGGCCCTCGGCAACTCCCTGCCAGGAGGGGGCAGAGAGGGGGGATGAGTCTCTGGAGCCAAGGCCCCAGCGCCAGGCCCCGAGGGAATGGCCTCAAGCTGCCCAGGGCAGGGTCAGGCTGGCTCTGAGGAAGGATTTCTGTGCAGAAGGGGCTGTTGGGCGTTGGAATGGGCTGCCCAGGGCAGGGGGGAGTCCCCGGGATCCCTGGGGGGGTTGAAGAGTCGGGCTGAGCCAGCGCTGAGGGGTCTGGGGGAGTTGGGAAGGGTCAGGGGGAGGGTCATGGCTGGGCTGGAGGAGCTGCAGGGGCTTTTCCAGCCCAGATGATCCTGGGATTCTGTGATATTTGATGGAAAGGAAGAATTAACTGAAAAGGCATTCAGAGGCCCTGGCTTTATGATGTAAGAAGTCCAGCTTTTTGATTTCTTGCAACAAACAAAAAAATTCTACGGCCACGTGATGCAAAGGCTGCATGAAGCCAGCATAAAAGCTGGCTAAGAAACAGTACACCTCAGAAATGCAGTTGTATGCCTTCATCTGACCCAGTCTGTATTTCAGGTTAATCTGTAATTAGGCCCAGCATTAATGATTACAGAACCAAGGGCTAAGTGCACAGTTCTACCACACATTTCTTCAGCAGTAAGACCAAGTGTGCCAATGCATCTATTTGTGGAGCTGGGCTGCAAACTGCGGATTACTAAACAGTTTCAAGTTAAAGAATAAAGTCGTGCTAGGAGAGAAGATGAGTTTGATTTTTTTTTTTTTTTTCCCTAACCTTCACCAGTCATCCTTCTTTTCTACTGCTGAGAGTAGCCGGCTGCAGTGCAAAGGTGGAGCAGGGGGACAGGAAGGAGATTTCAGCTTCGCTGTGATTACACCCTCATTCTCACTGATCCTGGCTGCCAGATTAAGCCTTGTGGCTACAGACAGCGGGCATAAATTAAAGTAACCTTCAGACAGCTCCAAACTACATAAGCGGAAAGGACAGACGAAGTGCAAAGAGGCATACAGGCATTTTTTGCATATTCCTCTGCTAATCAGTGCTGATCCTCAGCCAGCCTTCAGAGTGGGAGCTAATATTTTAGCACAGCTAAAGCTGAGTTTGGTTAAAGATTGACAGTTTTAGGGAATGACAGATAATGGAGGGTTCTGTTTCTGCTTATCAGAGGTAAAGCTCAAGCAATAGCAGAGCAAGAATTTCTGTTCTTCCTCCATACCCAAAAGCCACCCCCCACCCCACCCCCAGTTTAGGAGTGATAAAAACAGCTAATGTGGTGTAAAGCACCTTTTTCTTGCTCTGCCAGGGGCTTGTCTGTTTGAGATGAGGAATTATCAGCCTCATGAAATAAAGCCTGGTCTAAAAAGGTTTGAGAAGCCTACTTAGAGCGAATGACAGACAAGAGCAAGGCAGCAAAACCACATCTCATCTGCCCGTACATTTTAGCCTGTTTAGAGAAGGGGTGCTGGTCTTCCAGTTGCTGATGACCGCTGCTTCCTTGGAGCTGGGACTGGTACTCAGAGGGCATCAAACTGGTGTGGAGTGGCAAGGGGGAGAGGAAGGAGATGAAGAGGAAGAGCGAGAGAAATCTCCAACCTGAGTTGTTGCGGTTTCACATGAGTACAAGCAACGATGCAAGAGAGAAAGAAGGAAAGTGCTGCCAGGAGGGATCAGGAGACAGGCTCCTTTCACTGCCTGCTGGATTAACTGTATCATAAAATCCCTGTCAGACCACAGCTAGTGAATACTTTAGCAGCATAAACCTGTGCTAGCAAATAGAGAAGAAATCCCACTTTCCACCACCTCATCTCCCTTTTTATTGCTTCCACACGGCTCCCTCCCTGGTGCCATCGGGAGCACCTTGACTCCTTGGCCATGCACTGAACCGGACTGGAACGCGGGTCTGGATGAAAATAATAAAAACCATTTTTAGACAGAGAAAAGCTCACCGTTTTGGGTTTAAAGTATATGTTGAGCTACAGCTTGTATTTAGGCAATAGCTGATAAACATTTACTTTTGGTGGTTAAAACTACTCTAACCTCAACACCGCCTCCTCAGTTTGGCTTGTTCAAATGTTGTGTGTGGGGCTGGAACCAGATGAGACAACTGGTTTGGCTTAGAAATCATCTTTTTTGCCCCCATAATGTTGCTGGGGACACAGTTTGGGCACATCAGTAAGCACTGGGGTAAAATGGTCAGGTACTACTTGAATCAGTAATGCAAATAAAAATATTTTTCTCCAGCTGTGGCCTGAGGTCTCTGCTTCAAAGCACTTTAAATACAAAAGACTCATAAGAACAAATGATAATAAAATATTAATAAAGATTACAACAATAAAATTTATGCAAAATAGTCAAAAGCTGGTTCTAGACCTATTTCCTTTTAGAAGGACTGAAAACAAATTAAGTAAGGATGAAGCTTGAAGATTTATTAAAAAAATTATTAAATGCTAAAGTTGTGGTGCATTTTATTAACCATGAGTTTTAACTACTGCTGTTGCCTAGATTGTTTTTCATGATTTAAGAGTCACTCCTCCACAGTGCGTAGAGTTTACTGCAGAAAATAGGCCAACTGATACCGAGCTGCTTAAACAGTAAGCACTGTGTGAGATGGTGGGAGTGTTACGTGTGAATGGCTTCATATTTTATTAACTATCTATGAATTAGTTGGTTTCCTTCAAGATATTCAGGAAGGAGTAAAAAAGTAAAAGCTACCTTCTTAGATACTCAAAAACAAAGGTTTGCGGCTGTAAGATCACGCACCTAGATTTGAAAGTCTTGCCCCAAATCTTTAGCTATGCAACAAACTAGAAGTAGTCTGCAAAATGTCCAGGAACATTAATAGGTACAACACAGATTTTGTGACAAACTTCATAAAATTTTGTATTTCTTAGTGCTAGGCCACTTATTAATCATCCAATTATCTTCATAATTAGAAGAGTTTTCTGCAATGGAAATTGGTTTAGGAGATAGCGTATTATGAATATGTTGAATCATACTCCTTCATTATCAGCATTCCCAAACTTCCAACCAGTTTGGCTGTTTTCCTTGGAGCCACCGGAGGGAACAAACTCCTGAAATGATCGGTGACAAAGCACTTAACCTGCTGATGTCACCAGTACCTCGGTGTTGTCTCTTGCAGGGCTCAACACTATCCCCAAAGACCATTCAGGTGACCTCCCACTGCCAAGCTAATCCGTATTTCACCTGGTTGCCTAGAGGTGGGCTTGGGTTAGCATCTGCCAGGTCCTGTCAGGCGCTGCTACTATGCCTTTGTGGTTGGGTCAGTCATCTTACCAGACATTCCCATGTTGACCTATCTTTGAATCAAGTTCTTCTTAACTTCTTCCACCTTCTGGCTACCTATTTATATCACCATTTGAATAACCTGCAGTTTCATTGGTGGAGTGGGTGAAAAGGCACAAACGCAGTACATAACCGAGGGCAAAGCCTTGGATTTTAAAGACTTGAGCTCTAAGGTTTTTGAGGGGAATCTGAGTACAAATGTTTTCTCTTGCTGGTGTAGTTTGAATGTGGACACCTAGAGTGGCCTCCAGCAGCGTTGTGAGCCCATCAGCTGGCTCTTCTGTTTGAGCAGAAGTCTATCTAGTTTATCTTTCTAGTGTACACTATTTTTCAGGTCCAAATGTGTTTTATATAAATATTTTGTCTTACATTTATTGGGAGAACCAGTATTTATGAACTTAGTTGGTTTCTCACATATAAATATACATAAAACAAAGCTAGGCATTGTATATATTTATCAGTTTGAAAAAGACAGGAAAAGAAGACAAGACAGCCAATGTCTACAGGCAGCAAGTTGCCCATTTAAGCATTTGTGAAAAATGTCGGAGCCTCGAATCTGCTGTTACTTTCTGCCAGTCTGCTTATCATCATGAGTCAAAACATTTTTGCTAACTCTGTTGTTTTAGACAGGCTGCACAATATTCTTCAGGCGATAATCATCCAAGACAAAACAATTTTACTTCAGATGGCAATTTTTCACTGGCAATCAGATTATATTAACAGTTCTCCTTAATTGGATCTCACAGAATGGTGACACCACTAGGGTGAAGAACAACTTAACATCCTTTGAGGAACAAGGAGAAGAGTCACTCACCAGTCTTTAAAGCAAATATTAGGTCATCAAACTCCTGTGATTCCTCATCAGCAACCAATGAGCTGGTACTAAATCCTCCAGAAGGGTGGAAGACATTTCCATTTTGTGGACTCTGCTTAAAGGCAGCACTAGCTTGACTACCAGGCTGCAAGGATGCCCTCTCCCAGTCTGCAGGCACCTGCAAAGTGTAAGCACACACAGAAATGCAGTAATCGGTGAAACTACAGTACAGAAACTGGAAGCTATGACCAGAGATGAACTTAAGACCAGAAGATCTTGGACCTAGCTATTCTGTCACTTCTATAGTGAACAAGGTAGCCTTTCTAAAACAAACAAACAAACAAACAAACGAATAAACCCAAACAAAACCAACAAAAAAAACCCAAGCAAACCAAAATGTATAGATATATGTGTGTGTAACTCAATTACAAGTCATTCAACCTTGTATTTATTATGCCTGTCCTAGATACCCCAAAAAGTTGAAAAAATATTGCTATTTCTGAACACTGGCCCCAGCTATAGAGAACTTTAAATTAAAGCACTGAAAAGTACCAGGTCACTCTTCTCTAGCCACTGCCTCTTCCTCTGCTGGACCCTGCTTCTCCCTTCTATAGCTACTAATCATCATTGCTTTCCGTTACATGATCTACAGCTGGCAACTCACTGCTCCCCTTGTTTACCAATACAATATTTTAAAGTAATTGGCCCGCCTTTGAAGGTTAACAAAAAAATCAGAATTTCAGTTCATGAGAAAAGAGGCTTTGAAAAATCTATCTCATTCTTAAATGTGATGAAAATCCAAAATACAGAACTCTAAAAAAGTATATTTTAGGACAATTAAAATATATTTTATTGGGTTATTGCTCGTCCACTGTTTAAGAGCTCAGAAGCACAAAAGCTTGACAAGTGGAGATGAGAAGCTATGTTTTCTGCTGAGCTGGGGAGTCGGGTGCCAACCTTAAGTGAGATGCTGAAGAGATTTAGTGGTCTTCCAGGAGGCAGTTGAGGAGCTTTAAAATCCAGACAAACCTACAGCCGAGCAGGTAGAGGAACAGACAAAACAGCTGCCAGGCGAGCAGCTTGGTTTCCAAGTTATTATTATACTGGAACTGAAACGTTCCCTTGAAAAATTTCAGTTACATTAAATTGACGTTTTTCCTGGAAAAACTGTTTACCTGGAAAATTGTCAACTAGATCTATCAACATGCAGATGTACATAGCAGCAAAAGTCACCTCGCTTTACTACGGGTAGTGAAAAGTGAAACTAGCAGCATCCCACTTCCACCAACAGAGACTGAAAATCATGTCCCTCTAAATTATTTTTTCCTTCTTTTCTTTTCTTTTCTTTTCTTTTCTTTTCTTTTCTTTTCTTTTCTTTTCTTTTCTTTTCTTTTCTTTTCTTTTCTTTTCTTTTCTTTTCTTTTCTTTTCTTTTCTTTTCTTTTCTTTTCTTTTCTTTTCTTTTCTTTTCTTTTCTTTTCTTTTCTTTTCTTTTCTTTTCTTTTCTTTTCTTTTCTTTTCTTTTCTTTTCTTTTCTTTTCTTTTCTTTTCTTTTCTTTTCTTTTCTTTTCTTTTCTTTTCTTTTCTTTTCTTTTCTTTTCTTTTCTTTTCTTTTCTTTTCTTTTCTTTTCTTTTCTTTTCTTTTCTTTTCTTTTCTTTTCTTTTCTTTTCTTTTCTTTTCTTTTCTTTTCTTTTCTTTTCTTTTCTTTTCTTTTCTTTTCTTTTCTTTTCTTTTCTTTTCTTTTCTTTTCTTTTCTTTTCTTTTCTTTTCTTTTCTTTTCTTTTCTTTTCTTTTCTTTTCTTTTCTTTTCTTTTCTTTTCTTTTCTTTTCTTTTCTTTTCTTTTCTTTTCTTTTCTTTTCTTTTCTTTTCTTTTTCTTTTCTTTTCCTCTCCTCTCCTCTCCTCTCCTCTCCTCTCCTCTCCGCTCCTCTCCGCTCCTCTCCTCTTTTTTCCATTCCATTCCATTCCATTCCATTCCATTCCATTCCATTCCATTCCATTCCATTCCATTCCATTCCAATTTATTCAATTAACATTTCCAGAAATCTTATACAACATGACTGCAAAATTCAAGGCTTGTTTAAGGCCTACAGTAAGCTGCAAGAATTAACTTGATATTTTGATTTCTCATGATCTTGTTTTGACAGCACTTTAACCAGCCTCTATAACAAACCCAGGACTTAAGTAGAAAAGGGAAAATTCTCTAGATGGGATGCTACCAGGGAATTGTAATTTCCAAGAATATCACCATGGCTAAAAGTAACAATTTTTATGGAAAAAAAAAAAAAAATCCCTCTGTCCCCAAAGCCAACCTATAACAATTAGCATCTCATTCCTTTATATCACACTTCAGTACTGCGACTTAAATCTCCAGATACATTTTCAATACACAAAGTAATGACTTCAGAACCGTTACCTCTTCCATAGCACTGATGAGGTTCTGAGTGGACTTGCTGATCTCTCCACCTGCCGCCGGCAGACCACTGCCATGTGTGAAAAAGGCCGATCCCGGAGTTGTGTGCCCATTCATGTCTACAGTGTAACTTGCTTTCACAGGACAGCAAAGTTGGTTGTGCAGGATAAAATACACAACAAAGACATAAAGACCCTGAAACGGAGAGAGAAAAAAACCATCAGTGTGTGAAATGCAGGGAGATACATTAGAGTTTGAACGCAGTCATGGCCAGGACCTATAGGCTGTGGTTGATGCCTTCCCTTACACCGGCACCACGTGTCTCAGAGGCTGCAGTTTTTATGAAAAATCAGAGATGACGTTACTGCCCATCAGAGATCTGGAAATTAAAACCAACTTCTTGTCTTGAGACTTCCAGCTAAACACACACATACACACACACACAAAAACCCAACCCGAAAGAATCGCTGAAAATTATTATTTGGTTGAACCCACACGGTTGCAAAGCAAAGCCAAGATCCCAACAGCAACAAAACCAACTTGAGTTTCACAGTTGTCATAATAGTGAAAATGTGGTTAAGGGCCGCCTTTACAAGAGGATTTGGCTGCTGGCCCCTAGCCACAATTCTTTATTTCCTTACTGACCTGCTGGCTCTTTGCATTCTTGCCCCAATTTCAATCTTGTGCCAACTGCACTGCTGCCGTCACAGATACCAAGCTGTAACTATAAACTGGATTCTCTATGATATCCACTGATCCAGCACTGTCTTTCATTTGTGATTACTACAAAGGCTCTGCTGTATGGCTCTGCAGTTCTTCTTTAAAGGCTTGCTAATTTTGACCTTTAGACGTAGCCAAGGAAAGTATTATAACCATGTCTTTTGTTTGCCAAGAAATCCAGTGATTGAACTTCTGAATATGAGTTTCTCTTTCTCTAATCCTTAAATTGCATTAATACTAAGAGAAAACAATCCATTTCAATTGATAGATCAACGTTCAATAATTGCTAAAGAAGGAGTTAACCAAAGTACAGAAATAAGACTTCTGAATTCTTCTCAATGGCCACAATACAATTACATTTGCATTCTTTTTTTGTATTTCACATTGTCCTCTAGAACCCTGAAACCAACTGTACTAAAACAAACAATTTATTGGAAAGGTACCCACTGGCACGAAAGTAATATCTGGGATTATAAACAGTAAGGAGTTTCATCTAATTATATTTGGAAATTCCTAATGCAAGGCATTTTTAAAATACATGGAGATTGCCAGTACTGAAGATGTATGTTCATTTCCATTCCTACAAAACAGGCAGCAGCACTTCATGATCCACAGATTCATAATTTCTAATGCCAAAACAATATGATAAAACAGTCTGGTCCAAAGTGACACATAACAGAAGTTAATGGGATTTAATGGGATTTCAATCTCAGCTGGTCAAACACTGGAAGTACCTTCATACAGCTGCTATAAAGCCATAAAGCTCCATGTGTGTATTTTTTTTTTAACATCAAGCCAGCAAACAGAAGTGTTAAAAGCCACTATTTTAAGGTAACATTTTCCCACTTTTCTAGATGATTGTTGTCATGAAGACCCTAAGCAGTTAACTGAGAGGAAATTTCTTTGTAATACATGTAAGTAAATACGTTCCAAAAAACTGATGTAAACACGTTACACTTATGAACCACTAAAAAGGAACCAAAATGTCCTTTCATTCTATAAACAAATCCAAGGACTCTGATGTAGGTCAAGCATAATGGGACCAGCAAATGGATTTCTTTTAATTTAAGTGGTTTAATGGATATGAAAAGGATAAAAAACCCAAGAAGAACAGATAACGGTTATGACACTGAATCCAGAGCAGCCTCTGGCATTTTGGTCTCCAAGGACCTAGCCACAGAAGCTGCACGCGTTTCAAATGGTTTTGTACTTTTCAAGAAAACCCATTAGCTGAAAATGCTGCACAGCCCTGTGCTTTGGTACACAAGGCCCATGCTATGTCACTCTCCTGTGCAGCCCCAAGTGTGGATACTTTCTCTTCTAAAACAAATAAACATGGAATCAAGTACCACAATTACCTCCTTAACTCAGGCTGGTGTCCTGGTTTAATTCTCCGTGTGTTTCAGACAGTGCTGTTCCTGAGGAACTCTCATTCTACCAGAATCACAGAAAGGCATTCTGACACCCAGAGCATCCTTGCTCCCACTCCTCCCTGCTGCCACCACTTCTGCCCCTGGCAGACCCTTGTCCTGGGCAGCAGGAGCCAGCGTCCCTGAGATGCAATGCCTCGTGTGGCACTCCTGCCACAGCCCTCCTCTTCTCGAGGCTGAGAAGGAACTTCAGCAACTCAGAACTCCCACGTCTTGATGCAGACGGGTGATGAGACAGCTCCTCTGGGTCCTTCCATAATGAGCAAATGGACTCAGAGAGGTTATCTGACTGTCTAAGGACAGGAGGAGTCACAGGCTGAGTTAGCCAACAAACAGAAATTATGAGTTTTACTTCTCCCACTCTTGTAAAATGTTATGGCCACGCTTTACAAACAAGCCTATGCTTAGCAGAACCCAACACTCTTACATACATTATACTTTTACACAGGAACCGTGTAGCTGGGTAGAAAATTTCTTGCTTAGCTGGAAAAAGGATTGAACCTTCTTCAACCCATATTCCTACCCAAATCTAGAGTCTCGGGAAGATACATCCTGTAGATGTGGGTTCCTATGTGCCATCACTGTGGTTTTGTTTGGTCTCAAAAGGTATTTGTGGTCTTATTCTTACTGCCCTTTAGTCTTAGTAGAAACCACTGTAGAAAACTGAATTTTGGGAAATCAGAACAAGACAAATGGTCCTGCCCACACATCGCCAAGTTCCAGTGATCATACACATGAAGATGCTGTGGATCAAGTCATATTGATCCATGCTTATCTTAGCACCAGCAGCTACCAGGCTGTTTACTCTGAAAGACCACGAGCAGGATACAGACACTCGGGTTGTGTCAGTGCAACCACAGCTTTCACAGGCTCATTGGGTGTTTTCAGTAGCACTAGTTTGAGAATTGAGTTGTCCTTCTTCACACTTTTGACACTCATTATGTTCTTTTTCACTTCAACCTTTAATACTGTAAAAATAGCCTTAAAGTACTACGAATATAAGGCTGTTGGCATTGTGATATGTTTCACTATGTCCACCAGATGAACAACTTTGGTCAAGCTGTCACCACTGTACTTTTTCGGGCACACACAGACCTTGCTCCTTGCTAGTTGCACCAAGTATAAAATGCAGAGAATAGTCAAGTTCTGTTGACAAGTCTCCCAGACCTGCAGGATATTCAAGAGAAGAAATATACACACTCCAAAGGGTGTGAAAGAAGATAGGTCTGAGTATGGATGTCAGTAACACAGGCAATGAAATCTCTGTTAAAAATGTGGTAAATAATAATTTTGTATTCTTAAGGAGATATCATTAAAAAAAACAAAAAACAAAAAACAAAACAACCAACCCAACACCAAAAAACCCAAACCCCAAAACCTCAGCCTAGTACCAACATCCTCCACTGTTACATGCAAATTCAGTCATCATCCTCAGCCTAGAAGCATGAAAAGGGAGGCCAAAAGAGGCTATCTGGTCTCAGACAGAAATAACTGATTGTTAACCCCAGAGCTTGGCCTGGGCTCTATGGAAGCAGACTGAACAACTAAGCTAAAGAGGGAGGACTCTGGAGGATTTAATTGTAATATTACATAAATTCTGTGTGCTGGGGTCACAGGGCTACTTACAAAACATTTAACCCCATGCTATTTATGGTTACATTATGATAGTAGTGTTAATACAAAGTCACAGTAAAAGGTAAGAGGAAAAAAGTGTTACTAAAGCGTCTCCTGTGGAGGAAGGTGAGAACTACTTCAAGCAGACAACTAGGCTGTCCCGAAGGTGAGAGCACAGACAGGCAGCTTACAGTTCTCCTCAGACACGGTGGCTGCCTGAAAAATGTTAAGATATTGTCAGTAAAAGCTGCTGGTTATTTTACTGATATATGCTGATGGAAGACAATTAAGCTTTTGTTATTTCACCTCAGCAAGCTGGTCATTTGCTCTTTTGCATTGCTACATTAGGGAAAATAAACCAAACCAAAACAAAACAACAAAACGAAAACCACACCAGAAAAAAACCCACAGTTACAACTGTCTGAATGAAAGCTCCCATGCAAAAGAGTCCACTGGGACCTTATCAGCCAGAGAGGTGGGAGCAGCCTTGATGCTGCTCTAGGTTATGCCAGATACTTCACCAATCTTCCCAGATTTGCTATGGATACTTGACCAACCTGAGTGCCTTCTGTGACTGGTCCAGTGGACAAGGAGAGCGTGATGGATCACATCTGCTTTGAGTTCTGCAAGGCTTTTAGCGTGGTGTCCCACAGCACTCTGGTACCCAAGTTAGGATGTTGTTGTCTAGATGTGCAGAGCACTGGATGGGTAGGAACTTGAGTAACTCCAGTGGAGGGTCACCAGGATGCCCTGTGAGGCCAGGCTGAGGAAACTGGGCTTTTTGGCATGAAGAAGGCTCAGGGGGGAATTAATATCCATTAACTGCTATTAGCTTTCCAGTCCACAAGAGGTGGTTGCCAAGAAGACATCGAGGCATGGCAGAAGAATGAGAGATGCTGGCCCTAAGTTGAAACAGGGGAGGTTCCAACTGGATATAAGGCAAATCTATTTAATGTGAGGTTAATTAAGCACTGGAACAAGTTCCCCAAAGAGACTGTGGAACGTCCTCTGTAGGAGAAGAAGGGAAGTTTTTCCTGGTACATTTTATAATTTGTGAGAGGGTTTTGCCCATGCATGGGTGTGAGGGAAGTTCTCATATACAACAGCTTGATTTATTTATTCTACGGAGTGACAGCTGCAGGAAGCTAGAAAATTGAGGACAGACTTCCACAGCTGTCAATAAAAGGACAGAATATATTTTACTCTCCAGAAGATCACATGCAAACCTGGAAGAGTGATCCACAGAAAGCCTTCACTGCACGTTTGACACTCACAGTCTGACTCTTTATCCTCTAATTCTACATGTTTCAACTCACTGTGCTGACACCACAGTATGTCTAAGTATGGAAACTGGGATAACTCTGCTAACAGTAATGACAAAGGACACAACAGACCGCATAGGCCATGAGCAAACCTCTTCATCATCACCTT